AATATAACTTTCGAGAATAACTTCTCATGTTAATTAGTGCCTTTAAAAAGTTAGTGTAAGATGCACTTGTTTTTCGAACTTAATTAATAGTCAAGTTTACTGGATTGATTTTGTTGATTTAGCTGAATATAAGTTTTCTCCTTTAATTTAGTTGTCAGATTCCTTTGGGTATAAGGTGGAAGACAGTAAACTATAGGAGAAACAAATTCTTTGACTTTCCTTGTGCGTTGTACTGCTATCATCAGGCTTAGTTAGAATTTAAAGCTAATGAGTTCGGATTTTAATCTTTTTAAGTTGCTAGATTCCGAATTAATATTTTGTGCGTTTTTAATGAATTTCTTTTAAACAAAAAGAAGATTTGGACCAAAGTTACTTGGTTCCACCGAAATGCTCCGCCTCACGCTAAATCAAATTATACACATTGGTCAAGGAATTTTTAAATAGTAATTTTCTGTGTTTTGAGACGAAAAGTTTTCAATCTCAAACTATCAGTATTTTTCATATATTTATGTTCAAATATTATAGTCAAACTGACTAATTTCGAGAATTATTAAGTCATGAAACTTTTGATACAGCGAATTATTACGGTTTGCCCTAGTAACTTGTTTAATGCGACTCATTTCATTTGACTATACATTTTTCTGAAGTATGTGTCTGATACAGCTGACCAAACCTGTACAGTGTGACAGACTGACAGTAAGGAATCTGAATATCCAGTTTTCCTCTTTCACCCCACCCCCGCCTCTCTCTTCCTTCTAGTTTTCTCTACGTCCCCTCCACCTTTTTGGTATCTCTATATATATTGGCGAATTTCTGCAGTCTTCTTAGCGCTCTCACATTTGTTCCCTTCCCTTAAAACCATTCCCACACCCAAATTTTAAGGAGCTATTCTCTTTGTACTTGAATCTTCTTCTGTCCTATTTGGATTCTTTTTCACTGTCCCCTGCATCATGTAAATCTGCTGTTGTCTTATTTGTTTCTTATCTGCTAAATTTTATTTGGTGTCTCATTTCCTCGTGCATTGTGTTCTTTTGAAGTTTCCCCAGAAATATTTCGACTGATAGTGCCAATTAGAAAATGGTGTATTTTGCTACTACAATGGCTTTTTATAGACTTGCTGCCATTCCCTAGTCCTTTAACTGTACAGCTCTACCATTGTCACTTTTTCCCCACAACAGAAATATCATCAAATTCGTTAATTATACAAGTCCAACGACTTCTCTAACTTAAATAAAAGGTAAACGAGAAAGGCAAGAAAGAGTCTTGATTTGAGTGGTTAAATTGTTACCTGCTCAAATGGAGGAGTCATTTGTGCCTTTTCGTGGAATCAAGAATGATCTGCAGGGACGTCTGGTGTGCTACAAGCAAGATTGGACCAGTGGAATCAAAGCTGGCTTCAGGTACACCACACTCACTTCTTGTACTATCCAAGAACAAATTTTTACAACATTCTTGATTCTCCTAAAGCTTAATGTCTTGAGTTGACTAATTGATAAAATCTTAAAAAATAGTTTTTCATGTTGGTTGAGCGAATTGATTGTTGTCTCCTTATATAGTTTTGGGTAATTCTTAGATAAATTTTAAGGTTAAGTTAGAACGAGTCCCATTTTCTTCACATGATACCAAGCTAAACCCATCCTTATTTTTGGTTTAACAAATGTTGGGCCTCTATATCGTGTTGTCCATGCTCTAAATGTCCAATGCTGGGTATAGGGCGGAGCTAGAGTATGAGTTACGGATACGGAGTAACCTAGCAACTTTTGCTTAGACTATACTATTGTTTAATAAAATCAATTAAGTATGTATAAATATTTAATTTCGAACCTAGCAAGTAAAACAAGTTGTGGGTTAGTGGCAAATTCGGAACCCAAACTCCTCGCTCCGCCCTGGCTAGGCATAAGAGGGGTGATAAGTGTCTCACATTAGTTAAGTTAGGTCCGAGGGTCCATTTTATTTGCATTAAACTCTTGTTATATGTTGATGGGGTTTAGCTTAGCTGAACAAGAAAGCTGCTGGTTTTCAGGATCTTGGCACCCACCACATACATATTCTTTGCCTCGGCAATTCCAGTGATTTCATTTGGCGAGCAGCTGGAGAGAAACACTGGTATGTTATTACAAGACTAGTGCAATTTGTTCTACAAATGCTTTTAAGTACTTAGACCTGCAGTTTAAAATTCTTTTCTGTTTCGTTCATCAATTTGAAAATTGATATTCAAAAGTCAACATTTGCAGATGGAACGCTAACTGCAGTTCAAACATTAGCATCAACTGCAATTTGTGGAATTATACACTCCATCATTGGTGGTCACCCTTTGTTGATTTTAGGAGTTGCAGAACCTACGGTCATAATGTACACATTCATGTTCAACTTTGCTAAACAACGACGTGAACTCGGTCCTGGTCTCTTTCTAGCTTGGACTGGTTGGTAAGTACACATTGTCTAAACATGAATAACCAGTTAGTCTAATCAACACGCTAATATCATTTTGATTTTCCAGGGTATGCGTCTGGACTGCAATTTTACTCTTCTTATTGGCAATATTAGGAGCTTGCTCCATTATTAACAGGTTTACCCGTTTGGCTGGTGAACTATTTGGCATGCTTATTGCAATGCTCTTCATGCAACAAGCTATCAAAGTAAGCGAAATAGTAGTACTATTTAATCAACTACCCTCCTTATTATCCAATCAGGAGGGCATTTTGAATTACTTGGAAAAAAAATAGCACTAAAGCGTGTTGCCTCGACTACTCCTTTCTGGTTATCGTGCTATTGTTTAGCTAAATGCAATCACAAAAAATAATTTTCTGTTCTGTTTTTACATTTATATATTAGGGCCTGGTAGAAGAGTTTCGTATTCCGGAAAGAACCAATCCTCGTTTAACAGAGTTCATGCCTTCGTGGAGATTTACTAATGGAATGTTTGCCTTGGTTCTCTCCTTTGGTCTACTGCTAACTGCTTTGAAAAGTCGAAAAGCAAGGTCATGGCGATATGGAGCAGGTAATTCATCATGCTGATTCTGTTTATGAGCAACGATTTTTCGTCATATTCACTAAACTCTGAACTCTGTCACTGATATTTGGTTCCCAATCGACAACTTTAGACTTGGATGACTTAACATTTTGTCTTCCGTTTTTGCAGGTTGGCTTCGTAGTCTTATTGCAGACTACGGTGTGCCACTTATGGTTGTGGTCTGGACAGCAGTTTCCTACATACCATCTGAAAGTGTTCCTCAAGGAATTCCAAGACGTCTCGTCAGCCCAAATCCATGGTCACCTGGTGCTTTTGAGAATTGGACTGTTATCAAGGCAAATGCTTTTTCCTTACTGATTTTTAATTCATCTCTAACTACCTTCTGTTTAATTATCCGCCTTATGGACGACTAATTGTGATATTCTGGTCATCTGCAGGACATGCTAAAAGTGCCAGTTCTCTACATACTTGGTGCTTTCATTCCTGCAACAATGATTGCGGTGCTTTACTATTTTGACCACAGTGTGGCGTCTCAACTGGCACAGCAGAAAGAATTCAATCTTAGAAAGCCACCTTCTTTCCATTATGACTTGCTTCTTTTAGGGTTCTTGGTATGCAAAAATTCATTTTGCTACACATAGCTTTGGTTTCCACATTTTGCTTCACCTTCCACATATATGTTTCCTTTAACATATCTCTTGATGTTTTAACTGTGGGATTCTTGGTTGTAGACACTAATGTGCGGCCTTGTTGGTATCCCTCCATCAAACGGTGTGATCCCACAGTCCCCAATGCATACAAAAAGTTTGGCTACTCTTAAACACCAGGTAAATTCCAGCTTAGTGAAACTACTTCACATCCGTTCTTCAGTTTCCAGTCCTCTAATGTATATTTAGCAGCAGCAAGGCAACAACTTAAACTGTTATATCTCCTTTTCTGTTAATTGATGCACAAACTAAGATAACCTTGTTGTGCAGTTGCTTCGCAACAGACTTGTTGCCACGGCTCGCAAAAGTATGCAGAAAAACTCAAGCCTGGGACAATTATATGGGAATATGCAGGAAGCTTATCAACAGATGCAAACTCCTCTGATCTACCAAGAGCCATCAGCTAGAGTATGTGACATGCCTCTTCACCGATTTATGGAGCTTAAAGTTTTTCTATCTATAACCATTACTACCTACTTGAATTTACCAAGTATTTCCATTGTAGCTCATACAACAACTTGATTTCTTTATTTTAGCAGGGTCTGAAGGAGTTAAAAGAATCAACAATTCAGTTAGCGTCAAGCATGGGAAACATTGATGCTCCAGTGGATGAAACAGTTTTCGACGTTGAGAAGGAAATTGATGATTTGTTGCCAGTTGAAGTGAAAGAACAGCGCGTCAGTAACTTGCTTCAAGCCACTATGGTAGGGGGATGTGTTGCTGCAATGCCAGTGCTCAGAATGATTCCAACCTCAGTGCTATGGGGATATTTCGCTTACATGGCCATTGAAAGTTTGCCGGGCAATCAATTTTGGGAGAGAATATTACTGCTATTCACTGCACCAAGCAGAAGATACAAGTAGTTCACTCTTTCTAAAAATGCCTTTAAATTTATCTTTTTAAATTGTTTTTCCAAGGAATTTCCTTAACAAAATGATGAATCTTGCTTGCAGGGTTCTAGAGGATTATCATGCCACTTTTGTAGAGACTGTGCCTTTCAAGAGCATAGTGACATTTACAATATTCCAAACACTATATTTGCTTGCTTGCTTTGGAATTACATGGGTTCCAATCGCGGGGCTCCTTTTCCCTCTTTTGATCATGCTTTTGGTTCCTGTGAGACAATACATATTGCCTAAGTTTTTCAAAGGGGCACACCTTCAAGATTTAGATGCAGCAGATTATGAAGAGTCACCAGCTGTACCATTCAATATTCCTACGGTAAATCCTACTCTTCTGTAATCTAATATTCGATTGCAATTACATGAATTTTAGGACTTGAGGACTAATGTCAAAGCACGCAGGAGGGTGAATTTGGCTCAAGACCTTCCTACGCAGGAAGTGGCGAAATTTTAGATGAGATCATTACTAGAAGCAGGGGTGAAGTCAAACGCATTAACAGTCCGAAGATCACAAGTTCAACAGCACCCCCTCCTCAAGAGTTCCGTGTAAAAAGCGTGTACGTTGTCACACTCCCTGCCTTCCAAAGGGCTGAAGAAACCAGTCCATGACTTGACATCGGTAGAATGCTACCTCCATCGGGGAGCTCCGGCAGGGGGACTTGAGTCTCAGCAGAACCTTCCCTTTTCTTCTCTCTCCTTTCCCTCATCTCCCGGGCCTCAACCGAATTTGCTCCATTTTGCTCAGTTGGGGAGCGGAGGTACCCTCGAGCGGTGTATGGGCTGTGATATTTGTGGTAGCGGGGGTAGAACTCGGAAGGCTGGCCAAGGTTGTGTCCTTCCGAGCGGACGAGGTCGGCTCGGTGACCGAGGGCTTGCGTGGAGGCGGCATTGCGACCACGGGCTTGGACGTCACTTCAACATTTCTCTGCTTTTTTGAGGCCCGAGTGAAGGCATATATGTCGAACGGATTCACAATAAACAAAGGCGATTGAAAAACATAAAAAAAAGAAAGGGGGCTTACTCGTGACGATGTCGGGCAGGGTGTCATAGAAAGATGTTTGGGGTAGTGGCTGTAAGTTCGAAGGCTTTTGTCTTATTCGAGTGAGGATGTGAATAAGTAGAAAAGGAAATAATTAGGCTTTGAACTTACCTTCTCTGGATGGAAGGGGTGACCGGGATAAGTGATATGCGAAAAGCGATATGCTTTACACGTCCGCTTCCAGGACGTCACGCCCACGCGTCTCCTGACTGTAATGGTTGGGCTTGGCTCTGCTCGCCGGTTGTGCTGCGTGAGCCTCCAGATGCCTCCAAGCAAGCGAAGGTTTTCGGGGTAATCGCCGCGCGTCCTTCCCATGCTCCGTGACAACGGCGGTACCCCGAAACAAAGGGGCCAGTCTTCGTCGTGCCGGGGTATCCCGATCCGGATGCCACGAAAATTTAGGGAAGCCTTTTTCTTAAAAGACTTTCTGCGACCGGTGAGAAAGCGGACGACTTTAGGGCTTAAAGGAACACCTTTCTGTTTCATATTGAGTCCTCAGAGGTGCGGCCCACTTGGTGTCGGATCAGCTCGACAGGTCACTCAATAGTCTTTCGCGGAGTATCCCCTGTTTTAGTGAACCCTGGGAGTTGTCGGCGGCTCGACGATCTTTATTCCAAAGGTTTACCGAGGTGAAGCTTTTGACAGGTATTCTTTTATTTATTTGTAGGTTTCTCTACTTCAGGCTCTTCCGAGGGCCTTTGTTTGAGGTGAGGTTCTATAGTTTGATGGTTACTTATGTTCTCCTCTACCCTTCCCCGGTAGCTAGGAAAGATTTCTAAATATATTTCCTTCCTTCCGTTCAGGGGCACTCTAAAGGCTTTGCAACCTTCAGAGCTGGTTGACAGCCGTCTAGTCAGTCCCTCTCGCTCTTTGATAGACATCTTTCGGTTCTCGGTTTCATCCGACGAACAACTTTAGGTCTTTATTCTGTGTCCTATCCTTCCTTGCGGATTCCCGGTTTCTGAAGGAGTAGCGGCCTGTGTCTCCGGCTCTGGGAGAACTTTACCTATAGCTAACCTAGAGAGCTTTACTTTAAGATAGCTCGGGCAGGCACTCTTCTTCGGAAAGAGGAGTTGCTTGCCTTACCACACCAACCACCTTAGCGCTGGAAGTTCTAGCAATGGGCAGCTAGGCAAAGGAATATTATATAGCAATTTCATATTCATTAGATAAGAGATTGTGGATCTCTTCTTAGTGAGGACAACCGGATTGGGACGATCAGGTCGGTTGAGGGCAGCAGCACACCAATAGGTGGATTGCCATTCTTGTACTGTTTGGGTAAAGGGCAGGAGCGCTCTTTCCCTCTCACCAGTACTTACTATAAGGGGTGGGGCAACCGGTTAAAACCAAATATCCAACAGCCGCTTTCCTTAATGGCTACCCGCTTTCGAGTGAACTGAACTCTTGGACTGGCTGAAAGGGAAAGGGGAAACTGTACAAGGTATTTTTCACTCGTTTACGGGACCAGTGTCAAAGGAAAGGATTGTTGCACTCTCTTGCTTGAATGAATCGACATTTGTGGATGCTTGTTCATTCGGGATTCTTCTATCTATATTTAGAACTACTGGATCAACTACTCCGGCTTTTAGCCTTTGGAACCTGTGGAACCCTAAAGTCACTCGCCCGTTCAAACTCTTCTGTCCATCCCATCTAAAACCCTTGAATCAGTGAATCCGGGGACAGAGACCTAGCCCCTGCTTTATTTAAACAGCTAAGATAAGGTCTAAGACCGTCTCTTCTTTTCCACATCCTCATTCCTCCTTCTTTCCGGATACTTAAGCTTCTAATGCTACGGAACCAGCTTTCCCAATCAATCAATTAAAATTAATGTGTAGGAACCTGCCCTCATCGAACTGAATGTCTACCCTTCCCGCATTT